CGTCCATTAATTTCACGTTTGATAATTATTTAATTATAGTACGGGACAACAAGTGTAGCGAACGCGGAGCTCGTTGCCCGTTTTCAGATTACGTACGTATGTACGCACAAAGTAGCGTATAAAACAAGAATGTCAATAACGTTAAATACATATTCGAACGTTAAAATACGAGGCTCGGTATTAACCTGCTTATCAAATCCGTACACGCGTGTCCTTCTCGGTACTTTGGAATACTGAATTATCGTTATGACGGCAATAACTCAAAAGATACTATGAACTTTCATCACGGTTGCGTTCATCCCCGAAGCAAGTAGATAATAAAAGAGTGCAGGTCTAATTACTGGCTGTCCCTTTGCAGAAAGGTAATAACATTCTGCACTGCCTACGGATGAGACTCTAAATGATACACGTTACAATTTGAAAATATTTCATTCGACTAGATTTATTTATTAAATTAACAAAATATTAATTGAAGCCATCTTTAATCCTCCCCTTAATCCATCGCTATTCTTACCTATTCAAAATTGATTTCTATTCTTTCATTAATAAAATAAAAATTGATAACTCGTTACTACCATTTGGTAGTCGATATGTTAGAGGGAAATTTGCGAAATCCCCGGTGCTGCATCTACCGATGCAATCGCTATAATATATCTCTACACATAAGCAAACGTAAATGTTACGCTCTGCTGCAGCTTACGATACCGGCCACGCGGAATTCGCTAGAATTTATTTACCTTGCAAGGTCGTCTTTTAATTCCCCGAACATAAATTCAACCCCTCATACAGTGATTTGTTGAAGCTATTCCTGCTTAACTCATTCAGACCGCTGCTCGTCCGATCGTTATACTAATTGTAACAAGGATTTTATTCTTTCTAATCATTTAAATCCTTTGCATATTTTCACTTACGTTATCTCTGTGTACGTACCGAAAGGGTTACAGAAAAGTTGAATAGAGCTTCGTTGTTACGTGACCAACGGAAGACGCGTTATTATCCGTGCCAACTTAACCGGATGCATATTGAATGAATAAGGGAAAAAAATATTGGCACACGTGCCGGCTTTATGCATATACAGTCTGGACAAGGCATTCGGAATACGTTCGTTAGGCTATACACTCACGTTTCGCGGTTCGTCATTCTTTCAACGTGCATGCGAACCTTACAGCTCCAACTTCTACGAAACGACGCGACGCACCGTCTTTCGTCGTTCCGTCGAAGAAAGGAACAGCTTGCACGTACCGGCAGCCATTTGTGATCGGAGTTAAGTAAAATTCTATTGTAAGTAAGCAACCGGTGGATCTCTAAGTTTTTAAGAGATTGCGATTGAGGCATTCGGATCACGTGGGAATGGGCGTGATTTATAGAATATGCTGTATTTTTAGGCATTTTAAAATATCGCTTATTTTTAACACTTTGACTGCCACGTTAAAACTATTGAAAATTCCATTAACACTAGATTGCCGGAGCGAATCAATTTGACTCATTTACGATTTTATTGTTATACGTATATATAGGAAAACTTAAATAATTTTTTTTAAACTAATTCCTTCCCCTCCCCACTCTTTAGTTCCAATATATAGTGTTAAGTATTACTTTTGTCTTCACATATTATCTTTAAAATATTTCGTTATATTTTTATCCACAATTTCAAGTATCTAATACAAGTATTTCTAATTAAGTAAGTCAAAGAATTCCTAATACTATTAGTGATGGATTCCTATCGAAATTCAAGCGTCGCCCATGTATGGGAGATGTAGCGCTCAAAGTGTTAAAATTCTTAAAGAGTTAAGGTTTAGTATGAATTATTAAATAAAATATTAAGTACTCACCAGCCGTACATGTTTCATCCAAAGTGAATCACCGCTGCTCGTAATCCAATCGCAGAACAGTAAATTACACCATACTTCCACCAAATTCTGTCAATTATATCTGAAAACAAATCACAATCACTCGTCGACACGAACACACGATTCCCGCGATAGAGATCAATCTGTAATTTTAAGTAATTGTTGCTCCCGATACGCACTGCTACCAAAGTCGAGCCACCTCTCACTTTCGACCGTCACTGTTTTCAAAACAAAACCATCCTGGCTTTCGATGCCGTTTTATTTTAATTTAAACGTCTTAATATTGATTACGTCGAAATGAAGATTCTGAACATTCCTGTTTACCTTATACTTTTCCTAATGAAGCGTAATCCGATCGTGAGAGTATTGAAATTCTATTGTTTCGGAAATAATTATTGCGAAAAGAGGAATGAAATGCGTATCGCGAATCGGGTTGCCCGTGGCGTCTGTCCTATGCGGCCGTTGATATCACCGTCGAGCACGTTCATTGTCGCGTCTAGAGGTCACACTCTATTAAGAACCTAATAAACAAAGTACTTCCTAGTTTTCACAAATTATCTACTACGATATGTATCTCGGCTGCATAATAATTATCTCAATTCTTTTAGAAATATTTATTCCAGCTCTATAAAACTAAGGATACCAATAAAAATTTCGGAATTCCAACACAGAACAATCCGAAGGAAGAGCGCAATGTTAATTAATATTCCAAATTGACTGTAACTAAATATAAAAAAATTCTAGGCCTAAGCAATTCTGTTTTATTACCGCGTCTCACGCGAATTCGTTATCAACGGAAGACTCGTTTGCGAGACGGAAAGTTCATTTACCGATTCCCCAACATCTTTCGCTTCTCTAATCTACCAACAGGAATCATTAAACATAACGAACAATCTTATTAAATATACATTAAACATTTATTCCCAAGTTCCTCGCCGTTGAGCACAGGAAATACCAATTAATTTATGGTTTCACTTTTCTTCTATTCACGTCACTATTATAATTATCCAGAACGTTAAAAAAAATTATAATGATAATAAAAAAACAAGTACCTAAGGTGAACGAATTAAATCCTCATCACCGTTGATTAATCATTTCGTCGTTGTTTCACTTTGCACTTTTGTTAAAATAATTATTATTATTTAGACCGTTTGTTTTTTAATGATTCACAAAAAAATAGAGAGCACAAGTGTACACAAGTGTAGATACCTAATGGTACCACGAAATTATCGACGGATTTATAACGTACGGTCAAAGACGCGTTCGCCGATAACAACAACGACCTGTACGCAAGGACGGTCGAAGGAAGACTGAACCGTGGATCGTAGCTCGAAGCAACGAAAGCCTGGTATCGTATCGAGCAAGGATCCACGGGATCTCTCTCCCTCTCTTCCCCACCCCCCCACCACACCTGTTCCTCATCCCCTTCTGCCTTTCGATTCTCCGCTCATTTTCAACCGCCACGAACAATTTTCTTTTGCTCTTCGCCGCCTTAAACCGTCCCTTTCTGTTCGACCAACGAACGATTGCTCTCCTCGAACACGCCTCTCCTCACGAGAGACGCCGCAATAAATGCAAACCAGGAACCGATCCGCTCATACTTTCCCGCTCCTACCTCCTCGTAGTTTACGACGCCGGTAACAACTTACGGCTGCCGATCGCGATTTTAGAGGGCTCGTGTTCCCATCCAATGGATTGCTATGTTAAAACGACTTTAACCCTTTCGGTACCATCACTTTTACCGAGAACTGTTATGTTTCTATATATTCAATTGTCTGGATTGATATGTTTGAACGTTTTTACTTCTAATCGTCATACAAATATTTCTATCGTATACAAGTACTGTTTTTCTTGTATGTGAACGAAATAAGGTTAACTATGTATAAGATATACTGTTAATTGATTTCTATGTAGCTAAGACGACAGCCGTTAAGTAGGTTGATTTGGTAAAGAAAACAGCTTGAAGGAGTAAACATAACGAGGCAAGCGTGTGTCGAACATGTAGAACGTTTTTTGCTAAGTTTCTTAAGATCTATTTATTTGCTGACAAACTCACCTATGCGAAGCCACGGCATCGTGTACTGCAGCGAGTCCTGTCAAAAATGTAAAGTTGAAGGTAAAATATGTACTATATTATTATTTTTTAATAGGAATGTAATAATGATCGTACCTTATTTAGTTGATGCGTATTGTCCTCCATCTTACGTAATCGTCCCATTGGATATAGCTGCACCTACAGATTTCGCAGGTTAATGTTTTGTCGAAAAATTTTTCAACTTCAAAATTTATAATTTCGTATCACTGTCTTTTACATTTTTAATTAAAATGTTATACCTACTTCGTGTGTACAGCCAGAGGGAATGTCGTATTCTTATAATCGAATTTATACACAAAAAACACTGTGCAAATCTTCCTCTCACGTTTTTGAATTTTACGACGCAGTAAAAAGGGAAACAATGGCGTCGCCTGGCGGCAAACGCCGGAACCTGGAGACAGGAAATGCTTATTTTAAATAAGAAATTTTTATAATTTTATATTTGAATGTTACTATGAGTCAAATAAGATATTAAAACCGATAATTTCAAAAATTATGATTTTCAGGCCCACAAATGTCATTAGCAATAAAAAGCAATTAATCTACTCTTTCGGTAACGCTGTTGTCTTATTCCATTTTGATCCGATAATGTCGTGTATGACACGAAAATGGTAAAAGGATAAAAATATGCAATCTAACAGCAGATTGCTTCGATATATCTCCGATAGCAGATAAAGACTTCATTGTGAAGCTTTTGGTTATACGTTAATTATAAATTGGGATCAATTTTAAAACATTTTTAATTTATGGCGGTCTTTTCAAAATACAAGTTTGTCGAATTTTTCGGTCTTGTGCTGATTTTGACTCATTTCTAACAAAAATAGAATCAATGGAAATCAAAACTGTACCTTTCCAGTTGCTAGTACGAGGTGTGATAAAAGAGGAACTGGTAAAATAAGTACGACTATCATACCAACTGTACTCTCTATATGCAGACTTAACCTTACCTGGGGGTGTCTGAGATCCCTAAAATCATGATCCTTCGAGAGCAAAGACATGTCTTTTTGTATCTATAGTCACTGTAGCAAGCGCTATGAATTTCGAAACCTTGTTGCAATGTAGGGCTTCTAATTTCGGTAACTTCAGAGAAAATAAATGCTGTCACAACTGGTTACAATGAAAGCATTTACGCACTGTTTCAAAATTGAAACAAGAAACATGTGTAAATATTAAGAATCATTCTTCAAAGCTTGTTTTATTTTTCTTAATTCAAAGAAAATACCGGAGTGTTACACTTTCCCGGTGATGTAAAAACACAGTAAAAACGTTTACAGTGTTATGACAATTATTAAATAACACTGTCCGTATAACAGTAATATAATAGTGCAATCTGGAACGATAAAAAAAATACTTTTCACTGTTGAAGTATTATAAATGGCCCTATTATTCACAAGCATGTGGGACTCTACAATGTTTTTAAGCACCTTAACCCCAAAATTTTATGTCGCCCTTACTGGAACATCATCTCTAATCTCCGGATTAATCCTTATTTTCGAATGGTGGTACTTTAGAAAATATGGTACTTCATTTATTGAACAAGTATCATTAAATCACATTTCTCCATGGATTGGAGGAGGTGACAGCGGGTCAGATGGAAATAATTCAAATTTGAATGGTTCCAATTCCAATCAGCAAAATGTTCCAGAATGTAAAGTTTGGCGTAATCCGATCAATTTATTTAGAGGGGCTGAATATCAGAGATTTTATTGGGCTACAAATAAAGAACCATTAACATATTATGATATGAACTTATCTGCTCAAGATCATCAAACATTCTTTACCTGTGAAGGTGATACAGGTAATTGTTTTTAAAAAGGCAATGCCAGCATGTTGTCAGATTTGGATATTGATTAATTGGTTTTAATAGGTAAGGCTGAATATGAAATAATGCAAACTGCTTGGAGGGAACGCAATCCAGTAGTGCGAATAAAAGCTGCGCATAGTGCTCTTGAACGTAATCCTGATTGTGCCCCTGCATATATATTGCTTGCAGAAGAAGAAGCTACTACCATTGTAGAGGCAGAAAAGATTTTGAAGCAGGCTTTAAAAGTAGCTGAAAATAATTATAGGAAATCTCAAAGTACGCAACATCAAGGATCAATTGCAGAAGCTATACATAGAAGAGATACAAATGTATTGATATATATTAAACGAAGATTAGCTATGTGTGCACGAAAATTAGGAAAATTAAAAGAAGCTGTGAAAATGTTTAGGGATTTAACAAAAGAGGTTCCACCAATTATGAATGTTCTAAATATTCATGAAAATTTAATTGAAGCTTTATTAGAAATGCAAGCGTATGCAGATGTTCAAGCAGTATTAGCAAAGTATGACGACATAAGCTTACCAAAATCAGCAACTATTTGTTATACAGCAGCATTGTTGAAGGCGCGAGTAGTTGCTGATAAATTTTCAACAGATATAGCTAGTAAAAGGGGGTTGACCACTCCAGAAATGATAGCAGTTGAAGCTATTCACAGAGCTGTTGAATTTAATCCTCATGTACCTAAATATTTACTAGAAATGAAACCTTTAATTTTACCTCCTGAACACGTCTTGAAACGAGGCGATTCGGAAGCAATTGCATACGCATTCTTTCATCTTGCTCATTGGAAGCAAATGGAAGGTGCTCTTAATTTATTACATTGCACTTGGGAAGGTACATTTAGAATGTTACCTTATCCTTTAGAAAGAGGACATTTATTTTATCCATATCCAACTTGTACAGAATGCGCTGATCGCGAACTTCTACCTTCGTTTCACGATGTAAGCGTTTATCCTAAAAAAGAGTTACCCTTTTTTATTTTATTTACAGCTGGTTTATGCTCCTTTACAGCACTCTTAGCACTTTTAACGCACCAGTATCCTGACACTATGGGTGTAGTTGCACGATCAATGCTTGCCTGGTTTTCTCATCCATTTTATTATATTTTAGACAAGTTGGAAGCAATTTGGCCTTCTAATTTATTACAACAGCTCTCTAGAATATAAGACATTTATATGATCTCTGTAATCATGACTTATTGTGATATTTATGATACTTATGCTTTCATCGTCATGTACATCACTTATATATTTACATCCGTACTTTCCGAATTTCTTATGACTGATATCGTAATACATATGTATTTACAGAATTAACTATTTACTTAACGTTGCCGGTTAAAAACGTCATGTAGCGATCAATGTACAATCAAATAAAAATTTGAATATCTTTGAATGTTTACCTATTTTTCTTTTCATGTGTGATCTGTATTAAAAATTCCTATCTAATCTAGGATTTCTGGGTATATCAATCAACGTTACAGATTTGATTAAATTTCATATTTATTTAATAATTGATATTATCAGTAGCTCATAATTGCTAGCGAAAGAAGAAGGCAAATCAGAGATGTTAATTGTTTAAAATTGTACAGAAGATTGAAATTTTTATTATATGAAATTAATGGAAAAACACTTACGATTCGAGTGTAGGAAACAGTAAAATTTCACGGAATATAACAAAAATTAGCACAATGATATTACGTAAACGTACAATGTTAAAATGCAAAGTGTATTGAGCGTTATGCAATATCAATTATTTCATGATCTCTGATCCGCCTTTCTATCATGAGACGGTTACGACAGAAGAAAGAGTTAAGACACTTGGAAGTCAGAGAGCCCAAAATTCGTTGATGGGCTGGCTCGCTGCGACTTTGATTTTGCTTCAAACATTCATTCTCAATTTAATCTTAACTGATAATTGATAAAATTTGTCACTTTATATACAATACTCCTTTACTTTATAATTTACTTACTTAAACAAACATATTAACGCAGAAATACTATTAAATAACTATCCTCACACAACTAAGATATTTTCGCATTATGACTATTTAATGTATGTATGTAATAAGAACATGTAAAAACTTTCAAATGTGATCCTTAAATTTTAACTCTATAGTTACTCTTAATTATTATAATTAAACGTATTTATAGTAATAGTAATCTATAAAGTAGGAAATATTTTGAGTATTCGTCTTCTGTTAATATCCGAGCTTTCGTACACGCTTCTTTCACTCCGAATATTTCATTCGAACCTTAAATACCATGTAATTCCTTCATATTAATCGTGGTGGGATTATTTATTGCCGAAAATTATCTATGAAAGGAATTCGACAAAAGTTTATGCAATGTATTTATGTACAAATTATAGATTGTCCTTTTTATAATAGATCAGTTTCTTTCTTTTTTTTTTTTTCAGTAGATCAACACACGTAGTCACTTCACTGTGTTCAAATTTGATCGTTCCACCATTTTCTACAAATAAGGCACCTTTAACAAATTACGCTGTTATAGGCTATAACGATTTAGCAGTCCAACATTCAGTCAGTTTCACCAAGTCTGCACCGACCATAGTTAACTCGTTCTTGCCAATAAGGCATACATAGTCATTTGAACGTATACAACAAAACCAATTATACATATTTAATATTACTTAACGTAACGATAAAAATTTCATAAATTATTCCCTGTTTCGTTTATCGTTTCTTTCTTCATCTTTCTTTTTTTTCTTTTTACAGGTATACGTGGCATGAAGTTTTTGTAAACAACACTTTTCACAAATAATCCCTTAATTATTGATAAACGTAGTATTTGTACAAGTTTTATAAAAGGCAACTATCATATTATTTTAAGAAACTAAGGAATAATTTAAGAGAAAATAAAAATTAATATACTGAAATCAGCTTATCCTATCTGGAATAAATCTATGTTTTAGATAGCATTTCCTATGTACCGATCATACTCGCGTGTGATCGAGTAATTAGGTTCAAAGATACTTTGTGCTTACGGAATGCTACAAGTTTAAACATTTCTGGAAGGAATACCATATTATCAAATTTTGTTGTTTTCTTATAAAAATCATTATCCTTGCCATATAAACAATAATTTATGTTATTATTAAAGGGTGCCATTTGCGAAATATTGATACCGATCATATAATTTAGTTGACCACGAATGAATACTGGCTTCAACTAAGTCCTCCACATGTCGACGTAACTGATCCTCCGTCAACGTTAGGTGGAATCTATTTTTCAACCCTTGAACCGTTGCTGCACCACCACTTCGAAAGCACGGAAGTTGTGATCCTGTAACAATAAACAAAAATATACAATACATTTCTAACAATAATCAACTTTTAAAGACTTTACCCAAAAGATTTTTACCTGATAACATGATCTCTACGAGATTAACTATTTTTTCCATATGCTTTCGTGCTGCAATGAACCCTTGAAGAATTAAATTTTTGAATTCTTGAAACTGTTTAGATTGACTTCCGCCCATTACTTCTACAAACTCAGGGGTCAATTTAAACGGGCTGGTCTCGAATCCTAAATTTCTTGGCGAAGTTGAAAGAATAAATCCAAAATCTATATGTATCAGATGACCATCGCGATGAAGCAAGATATTTCCATTGTGACGATCTTTAACCTGAATAAGATAACAAACGAGACAATATCCTGCACAACTTTGAATAAAATTTCTTTGCGCGATGGTAAATGCTTCTGACGTAGACGGACCAAATTCTCTTTCGAAATATTGATAAAGCGTTAATTGGCACTGTTTCTTCACTTGGTGAAGCGATACAGTATTTAAAATTGGTTCGATTAAACCGCTATCATTTGATAAGCATAAAATTCTGTAAAATAAAATTGAACAATCGATAAATTAGTTTGCAATAATATTTTTAAGTATATTCGATAACAATGCCGTTCGTACTTGTATGGTCGCACCCAAAGGGGTACGTGTTCATCCTGCCAGATTTTTTGTAACATTGAAAGTAATTGCGAAGCAAGAAGTTCTTGTCGAAGATCATCGCCGCACTTTACGATAACAGCAAGAAGTCTCCAGGATGCCAAATGACCATATGGACTGGAAGCTCTTATGCGACGTTGTTTCAGTTCCCATGGTTCCTTCAAAACGGCAGCCGACGGATCTTCCGGATCATGATTAAACGTTGCACTAGGCGCAGCAGCCATTTCGCTTAACCGCCTCTTTATATCACCAGGTACAAATATTGGTTCTTTACTATCTGATGATTCTTGGCTTAATTGAGATATCGTGTCTCTATCTTTTGGTTTACGAAGTTGTAAATACTATAAAGTAAAATCCATCTAATTATCGAACTCGTTCGAAGGAAGATATTAAATACTAATTATCTATATATAAATAAACACCTGTTGCGTGATTTCATCGTCTTCTTGGCTCCAACAGTCGTTAGGATCATCATCGGGGAAATTAAATGCGACTTCCGTATTTCTAACGGAATACGGAGAAATATTTTTAACCGGAGTTTGCCTAATCGGTGGCATGCTATGTTGTGTTTCAGAAGAAGATATGTTTGATGAATCAATTACATTAGACTGTTCGCCTCCTGTTAAATTTTCTTCTGATTTAGTATGCCTTAACGAGCAACCCACTATTTTTGTCGGTACAGGCGATGTATAAATATCTTCTACTTCTAACACTTCAACATAAATTATATACGGTGCCTAAATATTTTAAAACACATTAATACATCTTCGTGAAGAGAATAATTAGTTAAGATCGTAGAAAATTATCGAGTTTGAAAAATCTGTTTCACCTTATCTTTACTATTGAGGACAGCGGCGTATTGAGGTGGCACTCGTACGATATGATGTGGTACTGAACTGTGCAAAGGAAGCCACACCCTTGCAGGGAGATTCAAATTGAGAGTATTAAGCTCTGCTATTAATTGAACAGTTTTACTTTCTTTTGTTGGAATAGTTCCAAGTAATTTACCAATTGATATTAATGCTTGTATAAATTCGAGTTCTGGAGCAAGACGCGGCGCCTATAAACACAAATATCATTTTAATTAACGTTAGAAATAAAGTAACATAGATTATGATGTTTAATGAAAATTATATCAAATTACATTGCAAAAGCAGTCGGTTTTTTGTCCTCGTAAATCATTTACCACACCTTGGCAGGAATAAAAACAGGTACAACCATTGTCAAATGCTCGACCAGAGCTCAGGTCCCCAAGACTTACTTTATTTATTGTACCTTGAAATAAGTTTCAGACGTATGATTAAATTCTAGTTCATTGCATATTTATTTTTAAAGTTTGTAATTATGATATTAATTTCTGATATCTCTCTACCGGAATGGCTACGACGTAGTGTTTGAAATAATCCAGTGGCATCAGATTGAGATCTTTGGTGTGTCTTTTTATTAGGAGATGTAACACTCTGCATCGCAGTTAACGGTGGTGGCGCAGGTGTTTGCAATCCAGCTACACGTTTTCTATTCTCATTTCCCTTTGGCCTAATATTTCATATAAAGAAAATTAAACACACAAATATTTTATACTTCTCCATATTTCTTTGCTCCAATTTATGCATTACCTGAGTTCATCTGAGAGAATAAGATTTTTTAGTTTGGTCCCATGAGACTTCTTTTTGGATGGTAGATGAGCATCAGAACTATATGCATCTAATAGCCAGGCACATTTTAACGAAAAATCAGCCGACTGTCTACACCTAGAATAAAAAATTTGATAATTGAAAAATTATGCATAATTTTGTCACTAAAAATTTCATCAATCTCTTCAGTAATATACAATTACCTATGGACAAGATATGGATAAAGAACTTCTGTAACATCATGAAGTTGTATGTACATTACAACCAATTGTGGCAAATAGAAGTCCACATCATTATCTGGGAAACTAAACATCTTGTTCCCTAGAAAATTTTATTCTTTGCATTTCTTTTCATTTATAAAACAAATATCTTTATTAATACTAGAGTAGAAAAGAGTATCTTCTAAACATTATGGATTGCAGTGAATCTGTTCCCATTAATAAAACATCAACTCGAATTGAATACAATAGTAACAATGGAATCAGCAAAATAATTAACAATAAGATGTACAAATTACAATCAATTTGAACATAAAATATGAGAAAATCAGGCAGGTACATTATACCTACCAAGATAGCTTTGAACTCCAGGCTCTTTAGAATTGAAAAGATAAGAGATCGCCATGGACATGTCGAAAATTTGACTCTCAAACAATCTGAGCAAACATCCCTCGGATGGTTTCGGTTGAACAGTCTCTTGCCTTCGACAAACGATACCAGTCTGTTTCTTAACAGCTGCCTCGATAGTTTCCGATTGCACGGTCGTTCCGCAGCACAACGTCATAGCAGCACCGGTCAGTTCACTCTGTTTATCGTTCACCGATGAAACTTGTAAGGAATTTTCGAAATCCCTCGCGTCGACCGTCATATCGTCGTGTCGTTCTTCACCGGTGTACTCGTGAGTCTCTAGTTCTTGAACGGTACAGACCGTTTTTCCGGACCGCATTACCTGCGAATCGGAATCACTGGCCGTGTTCTCATGTTTATACGGCTCACTAAGATCACCGGGATTTTTTGATGAAGGTTCACTCAAGTGCACCAGCTCGACGGGTGACACCGGTACCGACACTGACACTGGAGCACTACTTTCCTCGCCGTCCACCGCGTCCACGCTATCCATGTCACCTGGCTGGGACAAGGACGAGTCGAGGCTCTCGCGACTGTGAAGGTGATCGACGCTCGACTCTCTGGTGGCCGCGTTGGTCGCGTCACTGGAGCCGCTGTCGGAACCGCAAAGTATACCCGAGTCGTCCGAGCCGAGACTGGCGAGATCCTCGCGTTCCCGGCTGCGCCCTTTGCACGCCGGCACCGTGGCTTTAGCTACCGGCGTTGGCGTCGTCTCGCATTCTGGACTCGGCGTAACGTCCACCTCGGGGATTCGTTGCAACGCGGAATCGAGACTTCGATTTCTGTGATGATGCGTCAACGTGGTCGCGCTTGCCTGCGGCACTGGCGGCAACAGGATACCCATTGACCTGTAAACATCCCGATGTAATTAACGATGCAATCGTTGTACAAATAAAAAATTCTTCTATTTGTATGTCCACAATTATGTACAGTGGGTCACAAAATTATTCGCTCATCGTTTTAAACAGAATACCCCGTTTAAAATTGGACCAAATGATTTGAGGCTTTTTAAGAAGCTATAAAAATTAATTTACTTTGTGAGATATGTACTTTTGCTGTTTTAAAAAATTACAGTTTGTCGAAATCGTGAAAAAAAATAGTGTTTTTTTTTTCAAATTTTAATTTTTATATTGGTCACTTTCTTAGGTGAAAAGTCACGGTTTTCGGAAACTTTAATTTCTTGTAACTTCTAAGTGCATTAACCAATCTCAATGAAATTTTTCGCATACATATAACATACTTAAATTTACAAATGACATATTTTAAATTTTCATTACCTGCTAAAATAAAAAAGTTAAAAAATTTCGACAAATTGTAATTTTTTAAAACGACAAAAGTACATATCTCAGCAAATTAATTTGGATAGCTTCTCGAGAAACCTCAAATCATTTGGTCCAATTTTGAATGAGGTATTCTGTTTTAAACGGTGAGCGAATAATTTTGTGAACTGTCATTGCTTAATTTTAATTACCCATCCCGTAAGGGATATTTAACACTAAATTCCACAGTTAACTGGATATAGAGATAGAAGACATATAATCTGAATCACGTACAAAACTAATTTAACCCTGGACAAAGACCGGGTATATCAGCTGGTATATCCATAAGATAAGTGTATTCTATCATGGCATTGTGTATAGCTATTATAAAATTGCAGTTAATACTGGATCCACTATGCGACAGATAACGAGGCGAAAAATTCTGTTATCAGTAACTATAAATGTACTGCGGAAACAATTATGATCATAATATAAATACCTAAAATCCAAACTATGATTCCGTTGATGCGTGGTCAGTCTACTACGGGTGTTGATCGGTGGATTTGATCGTCCGTGGACAAGAGGAACATTACAGTTGGCTAATTTATGCCTTTTGATGTGTGCCACGCTTTCCTGGCGTGATGATCCACCACTAGGTGTTACAGCCACTACTTCGCTCATATTAAACTTGAACGAGCATCAGCTCGGCTGACAGTCATCTGCTGTTCATGTTGATCGTTTACCTACGAGCATTGAACAGGATTGATTATCAAAAATAATTAAAAAAAATTTTTAAACATACTTTAACCCTCTATTGCATTCCGTTCCAATTTGGGAACTTAAATTTCAAATGTTCTATAGTAAATTAAGTAGACAATACTGAAGACTCTGAGTTGGTTCCAAGTTGGAACATTGCGTAATTTTCTAATAAAATTTTATTATTAATTTCATGACCACACTCATTTTTAAATACACTAACTATATATCTTTTTCAACTCGTCATAAAAATTCATGCAACAGAGGGTTAACATATTTCGTCTCCCTTTTAACCCCCAAATGAACCGCCCCTGGTGTTAAGAAATACTGATGACAAAATAAACGTCGAAAGACCGTTTCAAGACAATTACGATAATAAAAGATAAAATTTGTGCAAAATGTGATAAAAGATTATGCATTGTTTACGAAGCGATTACTTAACCAGATAGTAAATCAAAATCGACGCAAAATATTTGGAGTCACTTTTAAAACATATATAAACCAAAATATGAATTAAAAAATCCATCGTATCTTAGAGTTTGACCTATGATTGATACACTAATGAATAAATAATACGACATAATTAAATGTTGAAAGAAAGGAATATTATAAAAAAGAAAGTATTATGTGTTTACATAAGAAGTCAATCGTGCTACTTTGTAATCATATTACGATTGGAGTTCGAGTGTTTCCGATTAACTTTTAATCCGCCAATTGGTTTAAAACGGTCAATGGCGGGCAAGTAAAGAATCGTGCGATTCGACGCATACCTTTTGCTATCTAAAATTCCATGATTCGGTATCTTGCAGTCGTAAACAACATTACATCAGAGTCCCCAAAGCTGATAATCAAAAAATTGAAAGTAATTCTGGTTCAAAGTTTGGCTAAGAGAACATATGTTTCATGAAAATGTAAATTTCGTGAAAAAAGTGATGTTTTAGAAATGCGCAATGATGACCAACTACGCAAAGCGGCACCGTGACAGGAGCGTGAAACTCGTGCTTGGTACGAGAAAGTTGAATGCCAGTCGGAACAAAGCGTACGTCAGAATTTTGTTCCCTACTCCACCGGCGCGCACAGTAGTTATGAAAAATTCTCAATTATTCGTTTGTTTTTCCTTCCGTCTACGTTCCAATTTCAAATGAAAAAAAAAAAAAAACGGAAGCCTTTTCTAACGAGAAAGAAAAGAAAAATATGTATTTTTTTAGATTAACATCTATGTGAAACAATTTCACGTTATCGTGACTGAAATCGTACGAAACGTTTTCCTTTCCCGCGAGATTAATCGACGAAGCAACCGGCCGAGTGAAATCCCTGGGAGAGGAATAATTCAATAAGGAGGAAAATGGAGCGAAGTCTAAGGTGTGGTATGCCGGCTTTTTACTCTCCCTCTTTTACTCAGGGTCTCGTCCTTCCGCTTGGTTCGTATTCACACGCTGGCCAGCGGTCGCGCAGCGATGGGTGTGCCAGAAGCACAGAAGCTAAAGCTCTAACTCTATACTCAATACTGACATCCACTGGTATCCACACCCCCATAAACCCCCATGTTATGCCTCTCCCTTATTCATATACAATTTCTATTCAATCAAATCCAATCGAATGGAAAAAATTATTCATTTCTATTTATCTTCCTAAACACATCAGCGAACGAGGTGAAAGAATACATGGAAACGTCAAGCGAGCTTACCTCGTACTTAAATTCGGTACTTTGTTGCGACTGAGACTGCACCATGCGTCGATTGTCTTCAATTCTGTCCGTACGGTATGTGTGTATAATATAGTACGACGAGCAGTAGTATTACAGAACGAGCTAGAAAAAAGAGATAGGAGAAAGAGAGAGAGAAAGGATGACGATGATGCAGCGAACCCGCGAGTACGCAAAATGCCACTAGGTGCGAAAAAGACAACAAGACATCCTTTCCAATGGCAGACGCAGACTGTCACGCACCGATTTGTCGTCGCTCGTTTTCAAGCGCTTTTACACAATGCCTGGCTACGCCCTTAACGTTGAACGCACAAAATCACACTTGATCACTTTCGTTTTTTTTCCCCGTGACAAATTGCAATAAACACAGAGACGAGTGGGTACGCGGGTTTTCTCGGCCCGGGATTGCAACTAAAAACACGCACGGAGGAACCTCCGTGCCAACGCAAAAGGCGACCTCGCCAAGCTCGACTGCTTCTCGCACGACGCACTGAATACTACTCTACTCACTGCTGCCAACAAAAGGGATGCAAAGTCCGGGCAGGCATAAAACACTAACATACTGAGATATTTCAGAACCCTTCGCTTGCTAACGATAACAATTTTTCATTTTTATTCTTTAAAATTCTGATACCATTGAAAATCTTATACGTAATACAACTTATAGATTGAGTTTGTGTTGAATAAACAGAGTTACGACTATTATAATTAAATAATATTATAATAAATAAATTCGAGTGATCGAAGAATTCTGAAAGCATTCGGCCCTGACGCACATGTATCACGCAAGTACACACACGTGCACGAGTATCTTGTACGTATATTTATTATAGCTAGTCTGACAGTATCATCGTGTTTTTATTTACGTCAACGCGTTTGTGGCTATAATGATAATATGATGTGAGCTGTCAATATCAAGAAAACCGAGCTCTGATAAGGATGGAATGCAAATCAGCACGACAACCAGACGTGCTCAAAAATCATTTTATTGTAATTGTTACGACAAAAAGCCACGCATATGTGTAAATTTTCGCAACGACACGAAGTAAAAGTTTGTTAAATACATGGGCGCTAAGCAACCAGCGATTGCACTCCTTTTTTTATATGAAAAACCAACTAGACTTAGGTTGGCAGCGGCTGCTCGGCTGTTCAAATGAGAAAGGTCGTACAACTGTAGGTGCAGCTGTACTTTGCGTATTAAACTAAAGACCGGCATCGGAACTATTAGGAATTTGCACTCCAGATGTATCTGCATACCATCATACATAAACAAGCATTAACGTTTTCATTTAAGATTCTCATGTGTTCTAACTGTTCCTCTCGTTTCGCACGTGTTGAACTAGAAGTATGAGAGGTATGCATATTTTATATCGTGACGATTGGCAAAATTATTTCTCGCTGTTAATTGTCACAGTTTGTACAAGAATCGAGTAAACGTGTCTTATCTTGAACGTATACTTATATACAACTAGAGAACTATGACGTCACGCGAGCGAATATTCCATAACGTTAGTATCTTTGAATACGGTAATTACACCTTTATAATAGATGAACGTATGTATATAGACTTTGAACGCTGAATGTTACAGAATCCGTTTATATATGTACGAACGTAACAGAGTTCGTATTAGAAGGTTCAAAATTTATGCTCGTATTTTCTTATAACTATTTTTATAACGAAACGAGGATCCATGAATCTTCGAGTAAAAGCGAAATGTTCAATGCTTTTCTGTAATTTTATACGCTTTCTAACCGTGTATTAAAGCGAACTGTCATCGATTGCTCGGCAATCATCGAATGCGTTACGCAAATTACAGGTGATTTCACCTGTTATCAAGTATTGTTCATCTAATTTTAATCACCTATTATTACAAATCACGATTAAACGGTAACTTCTCATTTTTAATAGTTGTTACGAAACTCGCACATACCAAGGATTCACGGTTCATATTTTTCCCGTTTATCTCGAACATTAATGAAAATGAATTACCCGTTCAGTTCACCGTATTAGGTATGATACTTAAACATTGTCAAATATAAAAAAAAAAATATACTGACCGAATTGAATAACCTTCTCCTTTTTCGAAGTCGGTTAATAAACGTGAATTGATTATGAAAATATTTATAATATTTCAAAACACGAAGATTGTTTGTTTATTGTTAGTACTGGCAGCTACGTTGTTCAGGATATTGGCATAGAGCCCACGAAGGCTATAACAATATTCTGCCATAACGATAACTATGTTTACAGGTATTATTTATTTCATTTTGTACAATTGGAATTGGAATGTATCCGAACCGCGCGAAATTTAAAATTAAAATCAATCGAGCGAAACAGGAATAGCAGCCAAGGGTGCTGCTGAAGTTCTTCTCGTTAGCACCAGCGGGTCTTCTCCGAAGAATTAGTCACTGCGCTAGCATAGCATAATCGTTAGCCGGCACGAAAGGATACTGCTCGCAATCTTCTAGTGTAAACACAACCACCTGACTGGCTATGCTGCTCTTTGCATTCTATCCGCGCTTTTCAGGTACACCGTGTCAATAATCCTTGACCTATGCGACACCGTAGTAATGAACGACGGAGAATCATGGAGAAACGATAACGTCGAGGAACTATATCCACCTGATTACATCTTTATAATCGTTTCAAAACAGATTGCCTGATTTCGGCTGCATACCGAAACTGTAGGAAACAGGATATTCAAATGGCAAGCTGTGCCGTGCTGCAGGACAAGGAACAACGTGGACTTCGCTTACCTCTCTTCTAGCATTTCACGATGTCGTATATATCCTATAGCCATGGTGGTCAAACTGCGGCTCCCATACGCACACCTATGGCTACCAGATATCAGTGACGATTATATTCAATTTTGAGATAGACAACTTAGATTTCAAAAGCCAACCCTTTTTCGGCCATTTCCGGTCAGAAGTGGCAAATAAAAAAAAAATTTTTTTAAAAAGTAAGAATTTTTTCAAAAGTGACAGAAAGTCTAAATGCTATAGCCCCCTTCTCAAGATTTTCAATCTTATATACAGGTTGGCTAATAATCATACACACAACGCGTAGATGTATCATAAATATATGTATGTAATATCGTTTCTGTAAAGAAGGCGGTTCTCCAGTATTTCTGATAAGCGATACATGACCCCTATTGTGACAAGGTTCGACCACCACTGGACTATAGTATATACTGACCATACGGCATACGGTATATGCCCACACCCAATGATGATACGTAGTCACCTTTGCAGCGATGCTCGTAATGATCGGTTCGCGTGTTATCATCGAGTTTGCCGAAATATTGTGCAACGCTGCAAAGCGAAATTACATTCATAGGTTTTAAAAAACTGTTCAGTAAGTCGTTTAGATAAATGATACCATTAACCATTGCGATATTTTTTTTTTTTTTAGGTAGTCTATAGATTTTTGTTATAATTCATTCGAGTAATAGAGGATGAAACGTTGAATTTGAAATAGCGACGTTTAAGGTGATTGACCTTTGAAGATAAAGTCCAAAAGTGGGTGAATGAAAAGGAACTACTACAAGTAGTTTATCTACGCGTATGTTAATGTTTCTATTTTCGAGCAATGCTTCATAAAGAGTCGATTATCTAACGAAAAAGAAAAAAAAAGTTGTACGAGAAATATTAACGCAAGAAACGGAGAGATAAGCGTCGCGACGGCTCGCTGAACCTTGCGTGTCGCCGCCGGTGTCACCACAGCCTTGACCTTCTGATGTTCACCAATTAGATTCGTAAGCTTTCCTCTATGCATTCCAGATGATTCCGTCGAACTGGTTGATTCCGAATGTCAAAAGCTTTCAAGCTCTTTAAAGTGTTAATTCAAGGGCACTTAGATTTTTAAATGAAAGTTTGAAGCTTATAAAATCTAAATAAGATGCAATCGTTGGGTCAGCAAAGACTTGACTCTACCGTCTGAAACTTGGAATGCTATTGCATAACAACATTAAAAATCAGACGTACATTTTCTTTAATTTGTTTGTTCGATAATTATGGAGTCTTATGAAAAAAATCCAATAATTTTCTTGCTTCTTTATTCTTATGCAACATATGCCGTCGATGATTGTTCGTTATTTCCGTACTAGTGTACCCACATTAATGCCGGTTACCAGTTGATCATACCATTATTCTTTTTGCGCACGTGATGGTAGTTGGCGAACGTTTTCTTCTTTGGTTTCTTATCACAACCATTCTTCCGCACGCTACGGTTAATCTTACTGATAAATCCTGTATCTATATGACTTGCAGATGTATTCGCTCGTCCTTCCTGTTTCCAAGATGTATCATTGACACGATTCCAGAATCATTTCGAGGCCTGTACACGAGAATGCCCTGTGCAATTAAGGGCGCTGTAGTTGGCCCTAAAGACAAGACACAGGGCAAAAATAATAGAAAACTGTAATTTTCTTTCCATGGATCATTTTTTCTCTTGGATAAGCGACGTTACGATTAGACTTGTTCAAAGTCATAGCTTCGTTAGATCTCATTGCACTCAAGCATTGCAAACAATTCGCACGCTCGACAATTTGCCCGAGTTCCCTCGATGCCGGCGAACGTCACGGTTGATCCCATATTTTGTTAAGATTTCTCCTTCTCGTTCTACTTTCAGTGCAGATGCTCCATCATAATAGTTTCTATTTTCGGTCGGAGGGTTGGCTACACGCTGTAAGTGCAGATGTTCACTGGCAAGCTAAAAGCGTTTGGGGGAGAAGGTTGAGCTTGGCGCTACGTATTTCCAACAGACTAATAGAGAAATAGATGAAGCAAACACGCGCGATGCAAGGAAATGCAATACACGGATGTTAGGTGAAATTAACAGTAAGGTACACTATGAGTGTAGCAAGTAAGTTTTCTTGAATCTTTTACCCTTAGTTATTCTATTACATCGAATTTGCAATGCTGGTCACCAGTGGCAGTTAACGCGTTGGGAATGAAGATTTTCTAGATTCAAATTGAATTTTAGCGCGAAACAGCGCGGCTAGTCTGAAGGCTACTGGTAAACGAGGACACGATTAAAGTAATGAAATGAAAATACAACGGCAAGATAAAGACGCCGTACAGGCGAGCAGCAAGTAAATAAAGTAGTAAGGATAGTAAAAAAAGAAAGACTGAATGAAAGGTACTGTCGTCGGTTAACCGCGGCCTTCGAGCACACTCGAATGGTCTGCTTATTAATGGAATTAAAGACCCAGCGGTAAGGTGGTAAATTAAAGGATATATAACAAATTATTTGATTTTATGAAATTAAATTGATGCAAAATTGTGAAACTATAGTTTTTACGTTTTCTTCCTCTTCAAAGTCCTCCTCGGCCTGTGTTCATCAAAAAAGAGTCCATTGCTTACGATAGACGACATTCCCCGGATACTCTAAATGTCATATTCCCTTGACGGAAAATTGTCGTAAGAAAGAGTTTATCATTTGACTTCAATTCCCGCAAATTCCAGGTCGTTGCTACTGTCAAGCAATCACGCGAAGAACGCGAGTA